GATAAACCGGGTTTTCTCCGCACGACCGGAACTCCCGGGGACCCGTTCCGAACTAGTGCTTATCGGTGATGACCGATGGTGCCTTTCCTCTTTCAGCCAGACTTTTTTGACTGGAATGAGCAAATCACTCGACATCCATACATACATCCTCACATCGAGGTATACACAACTACAACTCCTATAATCAAAACTAGACAATACCAGAGTGGAACAAATTAATCATCACTTCCCCCTTTCACCACCACCAAACATGGGAGAACCTCTCTCAGCTGGACATGGGTTCGAGCCATTACCAATCCCTGACGATCTTCCCCTCAACGCTCCTATTTTCCACGACATAGAACGAGGGTATTCCCGATCGGGAGATTATCCAGAGGAAGAACCGATCTCGTCCAGCCAGTCTGACAGGAGAAGACGGAAGCAGAGTGACAATAGTCCTATTGGCAGACCCGATGGAGAACTGGCAGAGGGGAAGAAGGGTAAGACGAAAGGCAAAGGATTGACAGAAGGGGATGCTGGTGGGTTGATGCTTCCACCATCTGAAAAGTACTGATGCACGAGATATGGACGAAATACCACATAACAATCTTTTGCTGGTCATGCCTGCGTAAGTGATGTCCTCAGAGGAGTCTTCTTGACAACTAACAAGACAGAATCGGTCTTGTTTTATTCCTTGGCGCACTCGATCAGACAGTACAGCCTCCTCAGGGTATCATCGATTATAAACTGACGGAATAGATTGTAGCCACCGCTCTTCCTACCATAGCCCAAGACCTACACGCCACTCCATCAGAATATCAATGGGTCGGAACTGTAAGTACACGTTCATCCTAAGAATAGGACTGACTCAAAGGCATATACGTTATCCATGACTCTCATGGCTCCGATGAACGGGCGTGTTTCCGATATAATCGGTAGAAAGTTCATGTTGTATGGCGCTATCATCGATTTTACGCTGTTCTCTGCGTTGTGTGGTGCTGCTAAGAACATGACATGGTGAGCTACGTTGTGGTCTTCAGGATGAACTGAATGTGTAGGTTGATCGTGGCGAGAGCGTTTCAAGGAATGGGAGGAGGATGTATCGTCGGATTGACTTCTATCGTCACTTGTAAGTTCGATTCCTGACTCAAGAGTCCTCATAGAAGACTGACCATCTTCCAGCTGATATCATACCACTGCATCAACGAGGAACTTATCAGGGGTATTTAGGAGGAGCATGGGGTGTTGCTTCCGTCCTTGGTCCAATATTGGGTGGTGTCTTAACGCAGAAGGCTTCATGGTATGTCTTCCATTACATTTGTGTCTCCAAGCTAATCGAACAGGAGATGGTGTTTCTGTCAGTCTTCCATATGTGAAAGAGCCATCAGCTAACATGAGAAGATATCAATCTACCAACGTGTGCCATCGCCTTTGCTCTCCTGGTGGTCACACTCAAGCTCAATCCCGTGCGCCGTCTCACACCCACACAGTTCCTCAATACCTTTGACTTCTTTGGTCTGTACGTCTATCTCATCTGTCGATTATTTACATACGAGCTCATCATCAGTGGGTTGGTAATGGCAGGAGCGGCACTTCTAATCGTTGGATTCTCTACCGCTGCCGATGATGGTTTCAAGCATCCCAAGGCCTACGCGGTGATAATCGTAGGAGGAATTCTGTTCTTAAGTGTTATCCCAAATTCACTTTTGACCAAGAGAAATGCAATAATCCCTGCGGTGAGTTGATTTCGTCCTCACACGTCGAGACAGTCTCACTAGAAAGAAAATTGGAGATTTGAGAAGAGCTAGTTCGAGTTGTGGTATGTGTCAGGCTGACAAGAATCAGAGAATGTTCAAAAATAGGACCACACTTTTCTTCTTGATCGGATCGACCTTACATTCCACAGCGTTCTTACCTGCCAACTACCTCATTCCACAATTACTACAAGGTGTTAGAGGATTAGACGCCATACAAAGTGGAGTACAATTACTTCCATTTGCTGTGTTAGTTGCTGTCAACACTATCATCGGTGAGCCCTCCTCTCCTTCCCTTTCACCCGCTGTCTCTCTGATCAATAACCCGCAAGCATCTCCTTCACTGTTCACTCAGTTCCACTCGTCCCATTCCGAATGGCACACTTTGTTTGATGATGACCGTCATAGAGGCAACTAGACACTAACGTTCAGCCGGCCAAATCAACTCTCGACTTCGGATTATCCGTCCCGTCGCATGGGTAGGACTCGGTATGGCCTCACTAGCTTTTGGTCTTCTGTACAAATACCTATCATATCCAATCGATTTCTCCACACAAGAAGGACTATTCGCTCTGGCGGGTACCGGAATCGGACTATCTCTGCAGGTACCGATGTTGGTTTTACAAGCGGCTATGCCATTGAAAGAGATGGCTGCTACTACTGCGGCGTGGACATTGACCAGGAGTTTAGGTGGGAGTGTGGGTGAGTAGTTACATCTTTTCTTCCTGAGATTTTTTTCTCCTTTCCACTTCCTCCGCATATATCCTACCTTCTGTCCTACCTTCTTTTCTACCTTCTATCCTCCTGTTTCGCCTTCCTTCCTGCTCTCCTTCCCTTTACACACAAAACCCTACCCGAGCTGTATCATTCATCATATAAAAAATTGCGCCCAAAATGGGAAACCGGTCAATGAGGTAGGACCATAGGGAATCAAAGGACAATAAGTATTAAGCCTAAAGCTAACACCTTAGGTCTGGCAATATTCACCGCTATACTCAATACAGGTCTCAGAAGTCGATTCGAGACTATTCCGGGATACGGAACCATTTTTTCAGTTCCTCAGAGTTCATCAGGCTATAGGGCTTTACACGATTTACCAGAAGGTGAAGTTAGAGATAGAGTGTTGATCGCTTTTGCGGATTCTTTGAAATTATGTTGGGCTTTAAATTGTGCTTTCTTTGGAGCTGCGTTGTTGGTATGTTACTTCTGATGATCTCTCTTACTTCTTTCTCCCCTCTCTCGCGTCTCTCACCCTTTCCCCTCTCCTCTTTCTGCTTTCTTCCTACTCCTCTCTCAATTTCCTACCTCTGTCTCACTTCATTCCTCTCTCTCTCTCTTTGGCCGCTTTCGAGTTCTTCCTGTTTCTCTCCTTCTCCACTTCTCTCTTACTTCAAACGTAATCCGTGGAAAGTGATCTAATCCCCTAGTTAACCCTCTTCACCCGATCTTACTCCCTCAACCGAGCCCGCGGTCCTCCAAAACCACCTTCCCCGGCACCAGAAGAGATCCCTACTCAGTTAGAATCGGCGGAGAAATCCACTTTGGTCATACCTGGCTCCGAAGGCAAGAGTTCATTACCTTCTGTGACAAGTGCCGATGTACCTGAGACGGTGGGGACGGTGAAGTATAACAACAAGGAACGTGAGGAGTGATGTCATGCATGTTCATTTTGTTTTTGGGGCTTGAACCAATATCCTCTTCGAAATGTCTCTCTTACCGGTTCTACTAGCCCTACGTACGTACGATCGATAATTGATCACATCTCATCACCAACACTCAAGGTGGTAATGGACAATTCAGAAACTGCAAAGAACAAGTTCAAAGTGACAGGCGGGAGAATGGCACCGCTAAGAGTTCACAAGAATAATTGCGATCATACATGATGTCTATACACATGTGGGGAAGTCGTGGAGTGTTACTCATGAAGCATACTGAGGTTTATCCCCGGGTCTTCCCTCGGACAATAGCACCACAGCCTGATTCTCAGTTCATCTCACTACTGATCGGAAAAAGACTTACGTATTTCCCAGAGATCTTCCATCCAGGTTCTTCTTCGTCCAATTTCTCCCCCACACCAGGAGGGATACCGACCACAACGTCAGACTTGATAGTCCTCAACGAACACACTGGCGGGGCACCGGGTTCAGACGCCAATGGACCAATGGCCATCTGGAATGGCGTGTCAAGAGGCGCATGACAGTCATATGTCAATTTACCTACTCGTCAATGAATAGTCAAAAAGGGAAGGGATCAAGACGTACGATGGTTCAAATCACCCTTGAAGATGACCAAATCAGCCTCGCTTAGGTATTGGAACAAATCAGGAGCTTCAGAGTGAAGATCCCACTTCTCATCAACACCAGGCTGTCTAACAGGGATGAGGACTTACGAAAGTGTATCCTGTGCACCAGAAGGGATGGGCTATCGATCAGCTTTTGCAGATGAGCTTTAGCGTAAAACCAATCTCACCTTCATATTTCCATTTACCCTCTTTCTCATATTGTTTCCACCTGTGTCCCATGGTACGCAATGTGTCCATCTCACCATCGGTGGCGTTTTCGAACAACTGACCGTATACGCATGTGTTGAGAAGCCTTAGCATCAGCAAAGTTTGAAAACAAATGTATGAGAAGAATGAGATATCAAGATGATCCCACTCACCAATCCCAATCTTTCTTCGTCACGTCCGAGACGAACCAAGCAATCTTCTTTCCATGGAAGATGACCTTAGAGCAAGTGCCAGATTGAATGAGCCAGTCCGCGTAAACGAGATCGCAGTAAAGTTCGAATCCTGGTCATCAGCTCGACGCTTCATTTAGGTACCTGCTACAACAACTCACCAGCATTGTCAAGGACAAAGTCGATACGACCGCCTTTGATAGTCATGACGTAATCGGCCAGTTTGTGAAGATTGTTGCCGAGAATGTTCTTCTCAGTCGCGGCGAGATGGTCACCTCCGGTAGATTGAAGCTTCTTGATGTCCTCTTCTGTCATATCGATAAGGAGAGACAAATCGGTCGAGTTACCCCACAGGCATACTGAGACATGAATTGTATACTGAGTCAGACGGCAGCCACAACTCACCCTGGGTGAGCTCAAGGAAAAGCAACTTGTTCTTCTCAGCGATCTCGGCCTCAGAAAGGCTAGAGTCGGCCTGACGAGGTTGAGAAAATCGAGTTGACAGCTCGAACACAGCCTGACTGGATCTCGAGAACGTGTCACATTTCTGACGGAAGAAGACATCTGATATCTCAGTCTCATAATGTCACAGCCGACCTTGTACCCACCATAGTCGACCCAGAACTTGCTGAGCGAGAAGCATTCTCGGAGACGTCGATATTTGAATCTGAATGATCAGCCAGATGATCCTTGTGGCATCGAGATCGGAACTCACGCCTCTGCAAATAGCCAAGGGGCATTCATGAAGTCTTTGCCACGGAAGAATTTCGCAATCTCCTGGACGAAGTCAGGTCACTTCCTTCAGAGCAGAGAACAAAGGGAAAAGCTCACCTTGTTCCATAGGGCGACATCACCCGCACCGTCATCAGCTATGGGTCGAAGTTTGGCATTATTCTGCAGATCGTTCATCAGATCCTCCATCCTGTGGATACAGTTGATCAGGTCGATGATACGCTCCTCGTCCGATTGCTCGTTCAAAGTCTTCCATACATCATCGATGGCCTTGCCTAAGATGGTTGGAAGGCGAACACCCATAGTCGCCTCTACGTCAGTGAGACCTCCATACGTGAGGGATGACATACGTGAGCGAAAGAGTATTCATGGTAACCTCTGTCTGTCATGTGTCAGTCAGGAGTCATTCACCAGGCTTGTCACTTACAAGCTGGCCAAGGGGGGTTGTCTGCACGTTAGCTGAGGAACAAGAAACATTCAACAAGCTCACTGGGGTTGACCCTGGAAGGCGTCCTGGGGTATTGCTAACAATGAGCTCAGTCTCACAAGTATGGAAGGACGCACGCTGGAGTTCGCCTTGATGTCTGCCGGGTTCATCTTGGGGGGTAGATTGCCCAAGTTGAGCTGCACCTTGGCAGGTGGTTTGGCACTGGGGTGGTTGGGGTTGGACATGTTGGGGTCTGTGTCTTGAACGTTGATTGTGACAGAGGACATATTGCAGAGAGGAGCCGAAGATCGAAGAGGATTGAAATAGAGTCAGATGAAATAGTGTAAAGAGCCCAATGTCCACAGGCGAGACGAGTATGACACGAGTGTATGGTCAGTAGGAGGACGATGACCGATCGATACGACGCCGAGAGAGGGTACAGAAACAAGCGTCAGCTGATAAGATCTTTGACCAGCGAGGTCTACGTGACACGCTTCAAATTGCAGATTCAGGGTTCAGGATTAACACGGTGACGCAAGCGGCACTTGACACGGAGGATTGACAGCGGCATCGACAGATCGAACTACGGGGGCCGGGGGCCGGGGGGATAGGGACAGGATAGGGTCAAGTACAAGAGCTATCATAACAGGCGGGTGGGCCGGCGGCGGCGGCATACGTAGCAGAGATCGCAAACGGCTGGAATGGTGAAGAAGAGAGGCACGATTTTTGAACTCACCTGTTATCTGGGTAAGTAGTTGGTTGGTTGGTTGACTGAAGAAGTTGCTTATCTACTTGAACAATCGATAGATAAATAAATAGTCCTCGGTTGATGAACAAGACAAGGAAGGCGAAGGGGATGGGCGTTCGGAGATACAAAGGGGAAGGTTATAAAAGGAAGGAGGAGAGACAAGTGGAGGGTGAACTTGTCAGTACTCGCTCTACCACGTTGGCTGGTTGATCGCGAAGGACGATCACTTTGAGTAACCCCACCAGTACCCACCATCCGGGTCAATCGGCCACCACGTCATGTGACAGCTTGCTCGTCACATTGTTTAGAGAGGATGTGAGAGGACGAGGTGTGTGTCTTTGATGGTACCTGATCTTTTTGACCTTCCTCGCTTGCGCACCTCAACAACGTGGTCAACGTCGTCAAACTTGACACACTTCACACCCCGACTCTTTTTCTCACTCCGACTTTCACTTTGCAAACACCTTCGTTATGACGTATTCAACTCACCTACAAGAAGAAGGCTTCCATGTCATCAAGCATCTAACTCTACGTACTTGGTGAATGGTCGACCACTCAGAGGCTTCTCATGACGCCACAAGATTCGAACAATCAGATCTCAACTCGTCAAACGACTTCTCGACAAGTCTAGCGAGCCAGCGGGCGATTACTGTGAAGAGTCAAAACGTTGGTCATGGCGGGGCTATGCTATACAAATTACTAAGTCCAATGGACCGTTTCATATACATACTTACTCTCCGACACCTCACACCGCTCGTACATGGTCCAACTCTCGAAAAACTTCCCATCTTCGGAAATTCACCGAGTTCTTCGGTGATTGCACCTATCGGCTCGGAGCTTGGGAAGCACAACTCATATCGTGGGACTGATTTGCTCATCTTACTCGAATCCCTTCATTTGAATATGGCAACCCCTAGCTCCACCCAGTTAACAAGACAAAGGAAGTATCTTGTTGCCTCTCACGGCTTTTGCAAATTTGCGTCAACCTCTCGGATCTTGTCATCCCCTTCCAAAGAAACCTCGTCAATCGTCGACTTCTCGATCCTATACGATTCTGCAACTTGTTTGACATGGACCTACATGTTGACCTGACACTGCATATTCGACGGTCCTGCCTTCACTGGACGGACCATGCCTTCGACATCCTTCCCTCGTCCATCATCGGGTCCGTCCGTCCGTCCGCCTCTCCGTGTACTCGCCGCGTGCCGTTCTGCCCGACTCGGATCCTTTGATATACGTCTCCTTGTTGATCTCCGATGAGACGCGGGGTAAGTAATGAAGGCCGTTCTGTTGGGGCGTTTTCTTTCAAGGCTTGAGAACCGAGGTTTTGAATAGTTCGTCTTTTTCCCTTGGCTCTCACCTCACTCCCCGCTCCACCTCGTCAATCGTCACCTCTACGCTTACGCACTTGACCTCAAGTGCTTATCTGTGACATAGCTGTGTAAACCACAAGGGATCTTTCTTTTTTTTTCATTCTGTCTCTCCTCTCATACAACAAATACATTTCAGACAAGAGGGACACTACTCATACGTCAAATCCACCTGCACTGCTCTCACGCCACCACTCAATTCTCACGCTGCTTGTCGACTTCTAGAAAGTCTTCATTACTTCGGCTCTTCCGCCTCGTTTGATCACGTCACGCCTTGACACCGCATAGTGTCGCCACCCGTCACCCTTTCTCCGACAAAAAAGCAGACTTTGGTCTCGACTTGGCTAAAGAGACGCACATCTTTACAAACGACTCTTTCTCTCCATCTCACTTTTTTTTTTTCTATTTTCCTTCTTGTCACTCGTCACTGTACTTACACGTCATCGAGTACGTATATCCAACGCATCATCTGCACATTTCGATACTCTCACAAGATCTCGTGATCGGTGACGGTGTTGACGTTTTGGCCTTCTAGCTCATTAATCCGACGTTCGGAGCATAGCGAGCCAAGGGGATCATATATTAATATCAATTTGGGATCCCATCCCTCGCCACTTGGGTGGACCCAACTTTGATCTCATATAAACATAAAGTGATCAAACTCATGTCCTACTCACATCCTACCGGAAGACGGACGACAGCCAACACACCTCGACCTCCACTCACTCCTAATCCCTCTTTTCTCACACCCGTACAAGAAGCTCGTATTCTCTCATGGCGTCAAACGACATCAGGTTCACCACCACCCAACGAAGCAGCCGTTCCAAAGACCAAGCCAAAGGTCAAATCAGCACCAGCATCTATTCAACAATCCCAAACACTATCACAATCTCATTCGTCCAACTCTTCATGCCCAGTTCACGGTCCTTGTTCCTGCAACACTCCGCATCGATCAAATGGGAAGAAAGTTCGAGGCTATTATTCACGCAAGAAGTCAACTGCCCCTTCGAGCACAGATACGCCATTGTTGACTCCAGTAGACGGTAGTCCCAAGTTGAACAACACCAACATGGGTCCTGTACCAGATGTCAAAGGCCTTCCTTCTCCACAACAAGTACAGGCTTATCGAACGGGATTACCATCACAGATTCAACCTAGCGAAACACCTGCCCTTCCTATCCCAGTCAGACAACAGGCTATGCCAGTGTTGAAACAGGATCAACCTAGGATAGTAGGTTCGAGAGATCCTATCTCGCAGAATTAGTAAGTTCTCTTTTCTTCAATGATATGGTCGTGATCATTCACTGACGTGTTTCAGCTGGAAACAGATGTTTCCTCCTGTCGGTGGACCAGCGGGCGTCAATGCAGGGACACCATACATGTTGGTGAGTGTCCTTCAGCTTCTTTCTCATCTTCTATACTTTCCTCATCCCCATCTTCATCTCAACGAGGTTGTGGAATGGACCGCTGACAGACAGCCAATGTTCGGCATGCGTCCTTGGGGTTACTAGCATATATTGCACTGCATGCATTTTACGCATGCAGTTATGGTATATAGAAACCTTCGCTATGTATTTATACTCTTCCAGATCCGAGATTTGTCAGATTGTTCATACTTGACCTGCGGTCCGAAACACGTATGAGCAGGTGTATATAGCAGATACAGTAGAGTAGAGTAGAGTGAATTAGATGCAACCATGAAAGACCGATCACATTTCTCGATCACCTTTCCGTAGTTCCGTAGATCTGTGTCCTTGACTTTCACATTCATACCTTCTTTTCTCTACCTAAGCAGTAGGCCTAACAAGAAGACATGACTTCCTCAAACGAGAAGCAAAGAGATAAGAGGTATCAAGAAGATAGGTATAGCGAACGTTCTATCTCTTCTAAGCGAAGACGCACCTCAAACGTGGAAGATGAAAGAAGACAAAGGTCTTCTCATCATCCCTCAGAAGGCTACACGGAACGATCTCGGGGGGGAAAGACGGAAGACAGATATAGAGATCGGAGAGATTACCAAGATGATAAAGATCATGACGGATATCGAGAACGTAAAGATCACAAGAGACATAAGGATGATAAAGGCAGAAAGAAGGAGAGGGAGGGTAAAGATGATACGGATGAAGAACGACTCGATCTGGATACTTTAGGAGTGAACAAGATCAGCGAAGAGGATTATTTGTGAGTATTACTTCATTCTCTACAACAAATCGAACGCCTTTTTGCACTTGCTACTTGCACTGTGGCGGGTGAGAATGGTGCTGATGAATAGCGTCAGATCTAATGAATTCAGGTATTGGTTGAAACATTCTAAAGGGCGAGTGAGTCATCTTACTCTCTCGACCTTACGCCTATCTTGAATCGCATGCTTAAAAGTCAATATTTCCCTCTACCTCTGATTCATTTGCATCTTACGGAAGAAAAGAGTGAGTGAGTGAGGAACAGGTGAGAAAGAGTACAGAGTGAGGAGAGAAGTGGAGGCCCGAGTAAGGACTACTTAAAGGATGAAGTGGTGAACATTGCAGGAGAAGAGTATCAGGGGCAGGAAAAATGCTGATGATAGTATCTCGACGAACTCTCATCTGATACCGCTCGTAACTACTTTGGCAAGTTTGTGCGAAGATGGAATTCTGGATCTCTGGAAAAAAGGTTTTATAAAGTGTCTACTTTTCCACCTGGAGCGACTACGAATTAGTGAGCAATCTCAATAATTCCCTTCTGTCCTTCTATCCTTCTAATCGTCCACCCCTTTAGTACGAGCCCTCTTCAAGACTTCCGTTCCGTGGTATATTGACAAAGACCTTTCTTTTACCATATTTCCATCTTCGATAAAATATGGGTTTAAAACACATAGGAGAAGACTGGTCTATGGGAAGTGCTAAGTTTCAGTCGATGGTCATTTGCAAATCCTTCTTCTTCCTCACATCGCTCCCCCTCTCCTCGTCAGATATCTCATCCACAAATCAAAAACGATGTTTCTACTCTCGTAAAAGTTAAAATAGAGATATCTAAGAATATCTCTGGTTCTCATCAAGAAAACGGCAAAGATGAAAGTGTCGAAGATTTAGAAGATACCGAACTTGAACCTGGACCTCGTTTATCCCGCTTAGGTCCTTCACTCCCTTCTGCCGCAGATAGACAATTAGCTCTTGAACAAGAACAAGAATCTCGAAAACGAGAAAAGAAAGTTGGACGTGATAAGTTATACGAACGTGTCATAGAGGTGGTACCGAAGAATGGTGGAAGAGAGGGGAAGATGGAAGAGCGTCGAGCGACAAATGCTGCGAATAAAGAAATGAGGGAGAAGGATGTTGTTCCAGAGATAGATGAGGGGGTTTTGTTAGGTGAAAATGATAGTTTTGCCGCAGCGTGGGTTTTTCTCAATGCCTAGACAAACTGTAGTAAAGTGTCTCACGAAAGATTCAATACTGGACATCATGAAAAATGTGGAGGCATGAGTACGGAAGTTGACTGATGTTCAGTTTGAGAGCTAGGAATATCGCCGAGAGTAGGAGGATGGACAAGAAAGCTATCGCCCTCGCTGAACGACGAGCAGCGGATGAGGAGCGGTTGTCAGAGCGGAGGAGTAAAGAAGCGGCAACCATGAATATGTCAGTCATTCCCAACGAAACACGACCAGATGCTGACGGTCAGGTTCAAGGCCATAGCCAGAGAACGATTTGGTTGATCGAAGCGTATAGGGCAAACCGTGAGAATATCTGCAAAAGACGGTGTATATATTGAGGGTTGGCGTAGGACCATGCATGAATCTTACAAGTCAACCAATTGAAAGCCTACTCGTCTTCCTCCTCGGCCTCCTCATCCTCTCCACCGCCAGCAGCGGCCTTGCTTCTCTTCCTCTTAACACGACCAGGACGGCCACCACCGTAGGGGGAGGTTAGCGAGTAGTCAATGTGTCTAGAAATCAGTATTAGTCCTCATTCCGATAGATAGCTTGCGAGGTTCAAGAGATGATACTCACTTCTGAGAGTCGAGACGAACCACGAAAGAAGGTACGTTGACGATTTGCTTACCCACACGGATGTGTCTCTGACGGATGAGGACACGAGCGTGATGGACAGACTTGGCGAGACTGGTCATCAGTACATGATCCTTGAGGAACGTAACTGAACATGAGATGACGATGAGTGTTTGACTGACCCAAGTTTGAAAACCTGAGTCTGAAGACGACGCTCCAAGAAATCCTCAGTCTTCAATGCGAGCACATAATCGAGACGCATACGTTGGTCGTCGAGCACACCGATACGGACGAGACGACGAATGAGAGCGTTTCCCTCGAAAAGACGTTTGGGGTCTTTGTCTTCGAGCTTGAGGAGTTCACGAGCAGCACGACGGATCTGTACGTCAGCCCATCAACTGATATGGTAATCTATTGCACTGTGAAATGCAAGATGTACCAAAATGCCAGAAGGTCCGACTCACCTTGGACAGAGTCAATTGAATACGCCAGATCTCACGTTTGTTACGCAGACCATACTCTCCAGCGAGCTGGCTATTAGCTTATGTCCATCGTCTTCTTTCACAATCGATGGAAGACCCTTCCATCATGCCACCGACAAAAAATCAGAACTATGAGGATGTCATGTTTGGAATTGTAGAGAATGGTCTCAAGTAATGAAAAGGAACCCACCTTGAGCTCAGCATCCAGACGGGCAGCCTCATAAGGCCTCCTAGGGACCTTGTAGGTCTTTGATTGTTTTCGTGGTGCGCTACCCATCTTGACGGTTGAAGCTCGAAAGGAGATTCGAGCAGAGGGGTTAGGAAGGGAGGATGCGGGATTTCCTTCGGCGTTATGTCGAGGCGCAGAGACCTCCGTTCAGATCGGAGCTGACTTATCGCCGAGAGCTTATGAGTCCAAACGCCACATGCGGAACGTCCGGCATTAGCTCTTCTCTCTTCCACCACTTCGTCCCTTCGAGGTTGCAAGAGCTTCTGTCAACGTCAAGCAAGAGGTGAGTTCAAGGTCTTATTCCCCCATATCATATCTCCTATACCATACCCGGACTTCTCAACGTAATTGGACAGAGTCGCTTTCGGTAGGAATACCTTAGAAGTGAGAAAGAGATAGGGAGAGGGGAGAGCAAAAGTGGACGTCCGGCTGACATATAGACACCCTCCATCATGCCTCACTCTTTCGGTAGCCGGGCGCGTACGCGTCACATGTTCAGGAAGGGCTTCAAGGGTGAGTAGAGTCGTCTCTACTATTAGAGTAGATCAGTGCTGATATGATTCCTCCTTGTTGTCGACGACTGTCATTCTCTCCGGCATGCCTCCAAATTCATTTCCTCACTGAAAACGATGTCATGCGATTATATAAACAGACCATGGTCCTCCTTCTATGACCACTTACCTGAAGACTTACCGTGTGGGTGATATTGTGGATATCAAAGCGAATTCTTCTCAGCAGAAGGGTATGCCTCATAAATGTGAGTAAGACTTTTTCGTATTGACCTATGTCCGCCTTTCTTCCCAATCTGGTAGAAATCCCCGTGGTAATGGATGTCTCGGTCAGTGATAGAGCGTAGGAAGGAGGAATACTTGGGAGGAAGTCCATACTGACAACAGACTACCACGGCAAGACCGGTGTCGTCTACAACGTTTCCCCCCGCGGTGTCGGTGTCATTTGCTACAAAATCGTCAACGGTCGTTACTTGGAGAAACGAGTAAACGTCAGAGTCGAACATGTTCGTCACTCGAAATGTCGACAGGAATTCCTCGACCGTGTTAAGAGCAACGCGGCTAAAAAAGCGGAGGCGGCGGAGAAGGGTGAACGTGTGGTGTTGAAACGTCTTCCAGCGCAACCTCGTGAAGCTCGAACTGTCAGCATCACGAACAACGCTCCCTTGACCCTCAGTGCCAGAGCTTGTGAGTGTTTTCCTCTTGTCAATGTGCTCTGTCGGTGTCTCGTCATCCGCATCTTGCGTCCTGTATATAGAGCTGACTATGACAGACGAGACCACCATCTGAGGCAGTACATGAGAGGGACCTGTATGATGCGAGATGGATTGCATACAACACGTCATTGACCTTGCCTCTTCGTGATGACTCTAAGGGCCTCACTCATCACTCTCTGATGCTTCTCAGCCTGACCACGATATTCCTTTCCCGCAAGATTCACTGAAAGCAGCTTAGCCACTTCTCTCAACCGAGATGAATGCCCGGATTGACCTAGGACCGCTTTAATGGCATGTCTCGCCAGACTGATGTCAGCTTCAAACACCTTCCATGTCTCAAGACTCACAATACGAAGTCAACTCGCTTGACTGCAAAATGATCCCGGCCGCGATCGCTTCTCGCCGCATGCCTGACTCTGGCTCGACCAGCGGCATAGGTGTAATCTGTGGCAGCGCATATCCCATCTCATCATTCAGCTCATTATGATTGACAAAAAGTGGAGTACGTACCGAAGATCAATCTGGATTGTTGGGTTGTGAGGACCTCTTGGGAGAAGTAATGGGGCAGCTTCATCCCTGTCAACATGAAATTCAGGTAGACATTCCTAAAGACTGTTACCATGTCGTTATGAGTTGTGTCGAGCTGTTGTCAGCCACTTCACTACGAGAAATCCGGCCATGCCAGCTCACATAGGCAACGTGATTGCGGTTTTCCAATTGTCGACTGAACCATCCTACGAACCCTGCGCCGCGATGACGGTCGGATCGGAGAGCAAAGGATTGTTTGGCCGCTAACCATCAGCGTCGACTTTGCTAACAGCGCGGAAAACTGACGAGTGGACAAGATGCGTGGATGATCCATTGTAATGTCGAGTGTTTCGGTATCGACGAGAAAGCCGCAATATGGGAATACTAGAATATTAGCTCATTCTGATTTACGAGATGACTCACATTTCAGATGTTCGACCTCATCCATTGTAGTCGGATCGAAAGTTGTAATAGTTTTATTGTTCGAGATGAATGCTCCGTACTTTGGAAAACCTTGATTCATCTCCACCACGAACCTTCTAGCCAAATTCGAATCGTCGCTAACGAACAGAAAATCATCAATATACCTCAGCAACCTTGTTCCTGGTTTACTAGAAGTCCATTGAAGATGTTCTTTCTCCATAGCTGCGTAAAAGAATGAACATAACAAACTGCTGATCTTGCTACCTTGTGGTATACCCGTTTTCTGTCGGAACAACCTCCTATCGATCTGCCAAATATTCTCTTTGATATGAGTCCGTAATAGAGACATACAAGATTGTTTTGATACATGTCGCCTACGAACAAGATCGACGATGACTGCATTCCTCAAAGGTTTCGCGATGGTTTCAGCTTGAACAGAGAAAGAATGAGACGAAGCTAGATCATCCACCATAGCTTTAGTCTTGAATAATCGTCTGGTCGATCCTTGAGATTGCTCACTAGCGGGTGGAAGAAGTAAACAGTATAACATGAGACAATAATCATGATCTTTATCCAATAAAGAAGAAACTATATCAAGGACTTTATCTTGAGGAATAGTATCAAAAGCTGCACGAATATCCATTTTCACGAAATACAATTTAGGTATTTTCCCATATATACTCAAAAGATCTTTCTTGAGTTGTTGAAGAGGAAAAAAGATTTCGTTGGTACCTAAAAGGGATGAACCTAGTTTATCGGAATGTCTTTCGTTCTCAAATGTCAAGACTTGATGTACACTACGAAGAATTTGATTGGCCGAAGTGTATTTTGTATTAGGAAGTGGTATACCAGGTAAGAAGGGGGTTTTAATACTACGACCGAGATTGACTATAGGACGAAAACCGCTATTGGGTTTAGGAATGAGTCGTACAGCTGAGACACCAAGTGGACCTTGGAGAGCGAAATGTTTTTCGTTAGGATCTAATTCTTCGAGTAAGTCTTCTTCCAGTTGACGGAAATGAGGTCGAGTTGCGAAAGCCCATTCATCATGTAGATAGTAGACGGTTTCGTATCGGGTGGCAGATGTTTCCGTTATATAACAACAATTTTTGAGGAGTGGGATGAGCAAGTCGTTGAAGATCCAAAATATGAATTCGTTACTCAGCGATTGTCGTTTTCTCGTTTCTTGCATGTTGCAACGTTCGTGCGGATCCAAGGCGAGACAAGTCAGATCACGCGTATTAAACCCTTGGATAAGAGAATGCAGGGAGATGGGTTCGTACTGTTTCGCTCGAATAACTCGATGGGCATGTCGTTTGATGGTTTCGACATTTTGTTGACTTCCTAGGATTGTAGAAGGTAGCAAAGTCTTGATCATGGTGGAGACAAAGTGGCATACTCGAGAGTGTGGAACTGGTTCAACCAATTGTGAAGAATCACGAGTCTGACAGTGAGCCATATCGTTGGTATAGAAAGTAAATAAAGGCAATTAACTTTTCGTTCTGTACATCGCTTGAGGGTTTGAGGATAGTCAACTTTGGCGTGTCTGGTAATGATCTCCCTCATCGCACCCATGATTCCTGTCAATCTCCTAGTGCTCCCTTGAATTTTAGGCTCGTCAGGTAATCTCATACTTTTCTTTGATGCGGAGAAAGAGGGGAGACAGAACAAGGAAGGGAAAACATGTCGTGCCAATATCAGACACATTTTGTCGGTAATACCTTTTTCAAGTGATGCGCCAAGTTTGTTGAGGACATGTTTTGGAGGAAGACCAGAGATGTGTTTTCCGTTAGGTTTGCGGAGGGGATGACCGTAGAACATGCTTTGACGGGAGATATAGATTGTCGCAGGGCTATGATGTCAAATAGAACCCGATTTCGTTTCCCTCGACTCACCTCGGCTGTCGATTTTGAGACGCCTTGAGCTTGTCTGAGGAATCACCTCGTTTTCTTTTCTTACCACGAATTTCAAAGACAGGTTCTGACGTCGACGAGGAAGCTAGGATAGGATGTTGATATAGATCGTACACCGGTACACCGCTAAGCTGGAGAAAACAATTGTTACCAACTGGAATAAACAGAGATGTGTGTAAGAGAAGATGTCGAAATCCCGCGTCTCCTAATCTACCCCATTAGCATCTCAAGGGCGTCATGACAAGGACTGACCTGACTCGTAAAATCTTGAAGGCTAGTGAACGTAGTAAGGCGGAGGGAGAATTAGCATGTCTATTCTCGACCCCAGGACGAGAAGCATTGACAGGTAGTCGAGCATCATGATTCTACACGTCAGCATTACATTCCTGATTGTCGAACACTATTCTTTCACTCACTCTGTCGGTCGATAGGAGAACATCCCTATTCCTTCTCCTACCGATCTCCAAGAGGATCCTATCGATAGCTTCTTGCTGCGTACCATCCAGTTCGCAACCAGCTTCCTGGTCCCTCTGAGGCCATGGGACCGACTCCCTTACCCCGCATAGGGTGGAGCGAAGGAGCTGAGTGTATTCCTCAATATCAGATCCCTGAAGGAGCTTGTCGCAATGCGGACTAATAAAATCTTGTAGTCTGTGCAAGTGGGGATAATATGAAGACAGAGTTTTATGCTTGATATTGCGTGGGAGTTGTTCAAAGTGAGTCATGAGGATGAATGGAAAGAGAACAGTCGCGTGTTTCTGTGAGAAATAGAAATGCCGCCGTCGGTCTTCTCGATCGTCGCAACCGGACTTCTCGGTCATCTCATTCCTACCACTATTCTGACTTTGATATATATCCCTCATCGCTACCTCCCGCTTGTGGAGGATTGATCAAACTGTCGTTGTTCTTTCCATCTCTGCTACGTCAGAGCATCCGACCTTGTTTTTCTGGTCACAGCTCTAGCTTCTTCACCTACAAAAAGACCTTCACAACCACTCTATCGCTCAAGATGCCTCCCATCAGCGCAAAGCAAGGTGACCAATTTCCTGAATAGTGAGTCTGTTCGGTCGATTCCTGATCTCCTATGTATCTCTTATCTCCTACTTGACTTTGCGTCGGTAAATTGACTTCGTTGATGAAGCTCTCCTGTTGCTTGAGAGATGGTGGCGGATGCTGACCAAGCAGCGACTATCTGGTCATTGGCGGCGGTAGTGGTGGAATAGCTTCCGCTGTGGGTACCCTCAAGATGGTTTTGCATGCTTCGCTGATGTGTAGCGTCGTGCAGCAGAGTACGGTGCCAAAGTAGGATTGATAGAAGGCACTCATCGACTCGGAGGAACATGTGTCAACGTTGGGTTCGTCGTCATTCCTTCTTTGAACCATCGCTGACATATAGATGCGTTCCCAAGAGTCTGTCATCTTCGAAAAAGAGTGAAAAGACGAAGCTGATAGAACAGAGATCATGTGGTATACCGCCGATGTGGCCGATACTCTTCGTAAAGCTGCCCCGTATGGTTTTGGCAATCCTGAAGATGCCAAGAAGATGTACGAGAACTTTGACTGGACCACTTTGAAACATAAGAGGGATGCCTATATCAAGAACCTCAATGGGATATAGTGGGTCTACATTTCTCCTCACGCCTTTATTCTTTAAACCTTGTCAGCCTTTCCACCCCACCACTCCTCCCAATCACCTGGATCGCAGCTTGATAAGCTGCATGATGGAGGTTCGAGACGCGGGGCTCCGCTAATTGGCAGCGAACGTAATTTACTAAACTCCAAAGTGGACGAACACCAAGGCTGGGCGTCTTTCGTCGACCGCAACACTGTTCAAATCAAACAAGATGACGGAATCACCTACCAAGTCCGAGCTAAAAACATATTGATTGCTGTCGGAGGTCGACCAACCATTCCTTCAGACGAAACCATCCCTGGGGCTTCTTATGGAATAGACTCTGACGGGTTCTTCGACTTGGAAACACAGCCAAAACGAGTTGCCGTCGTTGGTGCTGGTTACATTTCCGTCGAACTTGCAGGAGTGTTCAACACACTCGGCACGGAAACGCATTTGATCATCCGATACGATCAAGTTTTGCGAACGTTTGATCCTATGCTTTCCGATACTTTGATGCCTTACATGGGTGAGTCGTCGCACTTCATTCTTCCTTCCACCTTTCTCCATCGTATCTTCCTAGATAGCACACTGGAAATGGAAGTGGGAGGTGAAAATGTCTGATCAATCAGAAAAAACAGGGATGACAGTTCATAAATCTTCTCACGTAAAAAAAGTTGAAAAAACATCAACAGGTTCTCTTCTCGTATACGTTGACTCCCTCGACAAACCTCTGGAAGTCGACACTTTACTATGGGCCATCGGACGTCATTCCAACACTGAAAAACTCAACTTAAAGTCCGTCGGCGTAGAGACAAACGATAAAGGTGATGTTGTAGTGGACGAATATCAAGTTTCCACCGTACCTAACATATTCGCCGTTGGGGATGTAGCAGGGAAATATCTCTTGACTCCCGTGGCTATAGCTGCTGGAAGACGATTGAGTAATCGTTTATTTGGACCGGAAAAGTTCAAAAATCAAAAGTTATCTTATGAGAATATCCCAAGTGTCGTCTTTTCGTAAGTCCCCTTCATGACTCCATGTACAATACTGATTCCAAGCCATCCGACTATAGGTACCACTGGATTGACTGAACCGGAAGCAAGGAAGAAGTATGGGGATGAGAATGTCAAGATATATAAGACTTCGGTGAGTGTGAGCTGTCTCCCTCTCTCCCGTCAACCCCACTTCTCATATTCGATTTAACGGTTGACTCATATCGCGTGACTGCCACTGAGATGAAGATGAGGTGAAGAGAAAGGAGGTGTTGAAAAGGTGTCAAACGTATCTGACTGGTAGTTCAAAGCAATGTCTTTTGCCATGGTGGAAGATGAACACAAACAACCTACGGCTTACAAACTCGTCTGTGTCGGACCTGAAGAGAAAGTCGTTGGACTTCATATCATAGGTCAAGGAAGTGATGAGATGCTTCAAGGATGTGAGTGTACTTTTTTTCGATCATCTGTCATTTTCTGTCGTGAATGTTTCATCCTAACTATGAAACGGCGCTCGGCGTGAATTCTGTGTACATGACTTTTAGAAGGAACGAAAGATGGCTTCATCACATTATTGTCGAGCAGGAAGTGATGATTGTTGTGATAGTACTGACATGCCAGTCGGCGTTGCGGTCAAGATGGGAGCTACCAAAGAAGATTTCGATTCTTGCGTCGCTATTCATCCCACTTCCGCCGAAGAGCTAGTCACTTTACGTTGATACTCTCGTCTTTGTCCAAAACATAAGTGGTTCGACATAAAATGCATGCAATGTTCAGATATGACAATATTCGTGACATGTATCTTGGGGTATTTTATCGTGTATGATCGTGACAAACTATTAGCTACATATCCACATTTTCCTCTGTGACTTCTCACACCAGTCATCTTGCCTCTATTAGCTCTCATTCAAGTCTCCCTCATTCACCTGTTCCAATGCCACCTAATACCCCGCGGAACAAAAGGACGTTCATGAGGAGAATCAGAAAGTATGGGATGGAAATCATGTAGCCTCTGTCAACCAAGCAAGCGAAACACCAGAACTAGGTCTGACGAATTCGCTCTTCGGTCTCTGTCTTTTTTTCTTACCATCCCGTCGTCTCAGAGCATCCAGATCAAATGTTTGTTTCTTGTTACATGCTTCTGCTAATCTCTGAGCGGCTTGAAGAGCGGCGAGGATAGTCTCGTATGGGTGATCTGGGATGGACAAATCGGGTGGGGTGTTGGACCTAGGCGAGGAGAGTGGTTGTGAAGTCTCGGAGAGGTCGTTGAATAAGAGACGATATCGTCCTACGCGTTGTATAGGCGAAATGACCTGTTAATCAGCTTCGTGCCCCACTGATAGTTGCAAAGTGCGGTATGTTCACTCCACCTCCAGAATCATTCACATGCTTGGAGCTTGCCTGAATTACCGAGTCATAGGGCATACTTAGGGTCTCACCAGAATGCCAGAAGATAGGAACAAAGTGACGAGGGATATATACAAGGGAAGAAGAAGGTACGACTCACAATATCAGACAACCTCAACTTCTCTTCTTGTTCCTCTCCTTCTCCATCTCCTTCCCTATTCCCACTCAGACTAGCGCTCCTCTTATGTCTCCCCATCCCATCCAAAGCGTATCCACCAACAACCAAACCTCCTATTTCCCCAGCCCACATCGTCATCTCCTCCATCAACTCATTCTCCATAGTCGAGAATGCCGAAGCCACCCCAGCGGGGGATGGGTCACTTTCGAACCTTGCCGAGAGTGTTAGACTGAGGGCTAACAATCGCGGCAGACGATCTGCGAGAACCGTGAGAGATGGATTTGGACTGGGAACAGAGATAAGAGAGGGGGAGTGTGATGTGCGAGGTCGACGCATTTGAGATTTGGTCGACGGTGATTGAATAGGAGATGGAATGGAGGTAGAGGAAGCGGAACTAGATTGACGGGTGGGTTTATATTCGTACGTCAAGGCTGACTCGCCGCATGCCGCTTGAACAATCTGTCACGTTAATGTCCGTCTCACACGAGCACAACCAGTCAGATTCGATATTGGTGGGTAGTAGTGTCGTACTGAAGTAGCTATGTGCCTCTTCATTCGAATAACATGGCAGGTAAAGCTCTCGACGAAAAGGTAAGAACCAAGTTGCAAGTGTGACGCATACAGAGGCAAGTGAAAGGGGTGGAACAATTTCTAGACATACCGTCACGCCTTTCGCTAACAACCGTCCATACCTTCTCTCACCTTGTACCAACTCCCTCGTTACGAACCAAGCCTTCATCCCATCTTGTTTCGATAAATTTGCCAACTCATCGATCGACGGCGTTCTACTCAACTGAGGAGTTGGAAGACCGCTAGAACCACGTTGAAGATGATGGACATCCTCCAACCTCGTCAAATCCTCTAAAACTTGTTGAAACACCCGATCATCTGCAATATCGAACAACGTCCTTCTGTAAAGTTCACTTCTTCTCTTCTTTAGTTCTTCCGACAAGGTGAGATTGAGATTTCTTTGAGCCGCCAAACCTGTCAAAGGATCAGGGGCGTCATCGGTGTCCGAAGAAACATCCGGGGTAGGGATTTGCGATTCGGGTGGTGAGAGCAAGTCCACTATTTCATTTTCAGATGAGGTGGAGGGAGGAAGTGTGACCTTTCGGATGGGACGTATATTTGTGACTCGAGTGACAGGCTGAATAGGTACCGGAAGGGACGTGGATCGGGTGGGTTGTGTTGGCGGAGAACTCAGGACAACAGGTGAAGAATGTATCGTAGGTGAGGAATGTATCGCTGGTGAAAACCGAATAGGTTTGTTTTCGGATGGGGAAGAGATTTTATCTTTCGAATTGAAGCGTGCAGGGCGGACGGGTACTTCAGGGATATCAAGATCGATCATCATCATCCCCTGTCTCGTCAGAGAACCTCCATGAAGCAGTTTATCGTCGGGACTGCTCCGAATGGGCGACAATCCCTTCTTTGAAGACCTCTTTCGCGGGATCGGAACAGGAGGAATGTTGGTATCGATTTGAGGTCTGACATGTTTGACAGGCGACGTAGGCACACTTCCCTCGCCACCGCCGTCGACTTTCTTGCTTCTCTTGGATCCGGGCGCACTCAGCTTTCGCCAAAGTCTACTGAAACTACTTTGACGTTCAGGCATACCAGGTCTTTTGGGGATTACCTCTTGGTTCTTGGAACTCTGTGGCACAGCCGATTTGGGAGGCGCAGGGGTGTCCTGTCGTACTGTAGGTGAGGTTGGTAAAGATCGTCTCGCCATCGCTTTGTCAGCTCGGGTTGCGAAGGTTTCCGTTAAGCGTGGAGGAGGAGGTGCGCGTCGGCGCACGGAATTCATATCATCTTCGAAAGCGTTCCGCGATTCATTCTCTCGATCCGTCACGGAAGGGGTTGACGTGGCGAGGGCGAGGACAGGATCTGACTCCATAGCCTGACGTATGGACATTGAAGAATTCTTCATTCGCTGCAAGGTTTCCATCACAGAGGGACCGTCTTCCGACGCTGAAGGACTGTACGGAGAAGCCAACGCAACAGTTTTGGCGGCCGTGAAGACGCTTTTAGTGGCTATGTTGACCTCTCCGATGCTGTAGATCGAATCTGTCGCGTTTGACATGGCGCCCAGTGAGCTTGAGCGGTTCCTGATAAGTGGTGGACGAGTTGGCTTCGCCCTTCTACGAGGAATGGTTTCGTCGCCGTCCCCAAAGTTGACTGGGGTTTCGAAGACTATAGACCGTCTGTTCCCATCTTGGGCAAAGGATATGCGATTAGGTTGTTGCCCAATTGAGGGGGATTCATTGTCGGACGCGTTGCGAGAAGTCGTAGGGGAGGTCAGGGCGGACTGAAGGCCCAACACTGAGCCTCGTCTCGCCGTGCGCTCGGATGAGATTGTCGGATCCGTCCGTAATGAAGACTGAGAAGAGGAACGAGGGGGGAAGTTTCGAGAATCACGACGAGCCCGATGATTCAGGCCTTCTGCATGAGAACGAATGTACGCTCCAAGATCACCTTCCTGCCCTCGATTATCTTTGACAACACTACCATCGTCACCCTCTCGAAACGACCTGGTCGAGCTACGAGAGAGACACGGTCGCATTTCCACCACTCCAGCCCATGATACCTCCGGAGAGGCTGTCGAGAGGCTAAGCGGGGTAACCTGGGGAGTGTGGATCATGTCGGATTCTTCAGTGGCGGGGGTGTTAGAATCTGAAGATGGAGCGGTGGAACATGAGGAACCTTGACGGTCGAGAGAAAAACGGGGAGCCGGCACTGTCGTGCCTAATTGCTGAGTGAAGGGAGGGGATTGCGACATTGGGAGTGATTGTATGTGCGTGGCACCTACGACATCATCTGGATGTGGAATGGGTAGAGGTTGGCGGAGCTCTGATTGACCTGAGGGTACAAGACGGAAAGTATCGAGCTCTTGATCTTGGATTACCGAGCCAGGTCGTCGTTTCACGAGTTTCTTTGGTGGAGTGAATGAATCTCGATGACGATGAGAAATCTGACCTTCGGTAGATGACCGAGGAACTAAAGGTCGGGAAGAATCACCACTGTCAGATGGCTGGGAGAGGAAAGAGTCTACTCGCGCGAGGTTTGGAGGTGTAAGAGGCATCGACGTATCGACGGGAAGCGCCGGAGTATAAGTCGCCAAAGGTTGCCGAACGGATGCAGGGGTAGGCGAGGAGGCGACGTCAACCGACGATGCTTTCGGGTCAGGTCGGGAAGATGGTGAACGCGGAGGGGAGCAAGTTGATGCTGACAAGCTGATGAAGTCATCAACGTGTATCCTGGATCACGAGGGAGGGAACTCACCTTGGCATGGGAGGTTGCTCCTGAACAGCCAAATCGATCACATTCTCATCCTTGGAGCTACCTCTGAAGCTCCTCATCCGTCCGAACGACCATCCATGTCCCGGAAAAAGGGAATGAGGGGGGTATCGATTACCTCCCAGTATATTTCTTTTCTCTTTACTTCGAGAGCTGGAAGAATCTTGGTCGCTGTGATAGCCTGATGTGACGGATGTGGAGGTGGAAAGGTCCACATCTGAATGTGCAAGATGCCGAGGGGGTGAGAAAGAGAAGGAAGACGGGGGTAAAGGAGCTACTTGAATGCGATCCCGAGAACGTCGTTTGGAAAGCTTCATCCTGATTTCTGGCCGGAATGATACGTAATGACAATGATGATCTGGGCCTCACCTGGAGAAAGATTGACTTGAATGTTCAAAAGTGAGATATACCTGGGTGAAATATCGAAGGAGTTGAAAAGAAAGGGGGAGAGAAGTGACAGAGACCGCGGGGGATAGGTCAAAAGGGGAAAGTGATGGTGATGAAGGTTGATCGGGTGGAAGGCAGCATGATCATCGAATGTGACTGCGGGTCAGTTAGATCTTGATCTCACTACACATTGAGAACAGATGTGAATCTATAGTTGCGAGTAGAGAAGCTTCTTTCACGTTGGGATGTGAGAAAAAAATCAAGCGCCCGAGCGTTTATCAACGTGTGATAGAGGTCAAATCTCTTATCCCTGACTCATTCCAATCTGTGACCTGATATGCTGATAATACTGCTCGTGAAACAAGGTGGAAAGAGACGTGACGTAGGACTATGGACCAACTCACCTTGTGCGTAGGAAAGCTCTGATACAAATCTCTCTCGAACAAGTTGAAAGAAACAGTTTTTGGTGCTGAATGTCGGCCGTGGCTTGATCACTCGGACAAAGGAATCGGCAAAAAAGTCGGTACGATTGGGTTATCCAGCAAATCACTTTGATCTCTTTCTCACTCTCTCCGCAGTCGACAAAGAGAGGTGAATGGAACGGAAATTCAGACAAAGCAGGATAGCTGTAGAGTATGGTAGTTTAGTAAGATGAGTCCAGAGATCCAGAGACAGTCAGTCCACCACCACCACCATCCCCCAGAATGATGAACTGACAGTTTAGTTGTGAGGCACATCTTCATCCTCTCCGCGTCGACGTCATCGGTGGTTTTTTTTGATTCAAAGGCAGTGTGACCCACGTTGACCATTCGAACTCCCTCGGCCTTCTGCGATCCGAGCGCAGAGAGGAGGATCATGTTTTGATCTTGCCTCCTTAGGTGTCCTTGATCCTTGAGTCCTTCTTGCCGCCGGCGCCCGCTGTCAGAAGGAACAAGGAGAAGAATCAGCCCTCATGAGTTTTTTGGTGCGGTAAGGGAGACAAGTTGAGGACAGGAACACGTTTGGGACTTTTGACTAGTGAGAGGGACGATCAAACATATTGAGAGATGGTCCGTGGTCCAGATCCCCAAAGACTCAAAGGACGCCCGTGCTATGAAGAACGTGGGGCAAAGTGAGGGACCAAATAAATTGACCTCTTAACCACGCGACGCGTCCAATGGCCCAATGGCCAAGTGGAGGTCAGACGCACCAACTCATTCCAACAAAACCATAGTAAAGCACAAGTGCACTAGAGTATAACAGTGGTACATGTTACAGTAGTACCGTCGCAAAAAAAGACGATACAACCAAATAAAAGACATTCAGCGAGAAACAAAGAAAGCAACATGGCACCAGCACCCCCACACCCACTACGACGTATTTCCACAGGATCCCTCTCTTCCCTCGCAAGATCACAAGATAGAGCTTCTTCCTCAGCCGCAGGTTTAGATTTCTTACGTATACCAATGACCGACTTGGCGGACGAAGCTACTACCTTATCTTCAAACCTGAACAATTTGAATGAATTACATGATGCTTTGGGAACTTTCAATGAGAGTTTTTCGGCTTATTTATATGCTTTGAAGATGAATGCTTTTTGTGTGGAATGGCCTTCTGTGAGTTTGTCAAGTATTCAATCACTCTCTTCTCCGTTATCACCTCCTGACCATTTCTCTCATGAACTCAACTCTCCTCGTTCATTCTCATATTTTCGCCCCTCTCCATTTGGACTTCCCTACTCATTCTTGTGCTGTAAGTTACAATCTTAACACTCTTTCTACAATTTACGATCTTTCATCAGCTAATCATCAGGCTCCAGACGAAATCTCCTTTGCTAGAGCTCCAACGCTTAAACGTTAATCTCTTCCTCTCCAACAATATCCACCAAACTGACGAACCAGCTATTGAACCTGAACCTACACCAATGCCCCCTCAACAACGAAAACAAGATGAACCGTCTTCTCCTAATCCCACACAGAATCATGCGGGTGATCAAACTTACGCTACTGTGATGTCGGAAGAAGCTCCCCGAAGACCGGTCAAAAAACCAGTGGGTAAGAAACCTGGAATGAGTAATAAACGTAAGAGAGATGTAAGTCCTCATTCTTCGTTCTCTCAAATTGAAATGTTGTGACTGTGTCAATTATATCAGGAATGGGAGATGAGGATGGAATGGTGGAATGAATGAAAGAGAGAAGAGCTGATATTTCAGTTGGACATAGCGGCTATAATAGATACTTTACCACTTGAATATAGAGGTAATCAACCTGTGAGTATATTCCAAAGTTCGACTAACAGGATCAGGACTGATGATAGGCCGCGAGATTGATCACGGAAAAAGTCATTGGAAGACTTATGGATGCTCCGGATGGATTACCAAGTAAGTTTCAACGTATATACTACTTTTCATGGAAAGGATGATGTCATCCTTGACGAATGATGACTGAGACAATCTTCAACACACTTCAGCTGACAAAAACAGTTAAAGCTATGGTTTTCCCACCTGAACTTCCTCAACCTAAAGTGAATAAATGTCTCATAGCTCTTGTCACTAAAAAGGTTGTGACTAAGAATAATATCGGAGTTGGTTTTTTTCTTTGTTCAATTGGACTCTTAGCTGATGGATAGGGAACAACGTGGTATAAGTGGGTAGGGGTGTGAGGATTCGTACGATTGTATTTGTCTGAAAAATGTACAATCATTCCCGCATCCCGCAACTTTTTATCATGGATTCCTCGACCCAACTGGTTTGTCGAAAGGACTAGATTGTCTTTTGGGTATTCCCGCAATCCGAGGGCGAGACCAAATGAGAAGATCATGCATACATGCGAGATACGATGGAGAATTTGATCAAGGACAGAAAATCAACGTTTCTTTGCTTCGTCCAACACGCGCCAAAATTCAGCAACGACCTGTCGATCTATATGTCGTTTATTCCTATCGATCTGGCTGTTAGAGAAAGGGGATACACAATGCGTGAGATAACTCACCCTCATTTCAGTCACATTCCAATCTCTTACCGTTGGATTGATCGGTTCGTTACTCCATTGAAAATAGACACCTTTGACTGATCGTCAACACAAACAAATTCATTATGGTGATAGAGACCCACCATGTCGGAATAAAACCTTTGGATCTTGCCATTTGTAAGGTTTGAACTGCCACGCTTGACCAGTCGTCAAGACGCATACCACTCGGTCCCTAAAATTGAGTCAGAACATATTCAATGTAGAGATATAGGATTCACCAAGCATCTTGTCCAAACTTCTGTAATGCCTCCACACCATCTACCACGTAATATTTGCTAGACACTTCACCTGAGTATCAGATATACTGACATATGGTATATGGTATAGAGGACTGACCCTGTGGAGTGGAACGTTTACGAAGTACGGGTACCATATCTTCCGCTCGGGTGTTACCTTGTTGAGCTTCATTCGCTCTGGCAACTTCGGAGGGTTCGAACCTATGTATAAGTCAACATCCAGTCTACTCTGAGACGATCTAAATCGTGCATTTTCCTGATGACTTGTGATGACACGAGGGCGCGGTACATGATTGACAATAGAACGCATATTTGAACGGTGGACCATCGACTCACACTCCTTGTTCCAAAAACTTCTTCACGTTCCACATGGTGACGAGCGAGGTAGGTGAAGATGAGATGATGATGATAGGGTTTGAAGATCTTTGCTTTTTAGACCTATTCGGATCTCTTTGTCAGCTCCCAAATCCACGCCTGTACGACGGAGTGAGCCTACCATAAGTGGTTTGAGATTGTTGAGTGCTAGGTTGAGCTTTACCACCTGTTTCCAGTGATTTTCTCAGAGTTCTTATCTTCTCCGACATGACAGATTTGAGGAAGCTTTCAAAGTTCTAACATTTAGCTCTATGTATATTGAAAGGAACGAAATGAAATGTCTTACGTTGATTTTCCCTCCCGCTGTAGCTCGCAGAACACTATTCCGATCTCTCAACTCCACCTCTTGAGATCTTAATTTGCGACAAAACTCTCGATCCGTAATGTCCACTTCGTACTTTCTCTTGGCTGGTACAGCAGGTCTTGAAGGTCCAGCTTCTGACAAATCTAAAGCAGATGAAACTCCTTCGGCAGAAACTCCTTATCCTAGTCAGAAGACTTATTTTTGGGTAAAATACGTTGAAAACTTACCTTCATCTCCGACTTTGATGATTCGATTACCCCCATGTCCCCCTTGAAGATATTCCACCACAGCTCTTCGATCGGCGATACCTACATAACCCACACCGCTCGCTTGACCCTTTGCGAGATACTCTCTAACCCCACTCTCACGTTCAGTCCAAGCTAGCCATATTTGTCCAATGTTGTAAAACTCTGTGCGAGTGTCGGCACGGGCTGTATACCGCGTCGGGGCATCTTTGGGGATGTTGATGGGTTCACCAGAAGGTTGAGGGAATGATATGTATGCTGCGAGCGGAATTGTCGGTGACGGCTCTGATGCGGATGTGAGGAGTACAGGTGTCGTGGAAGAGGTTAAAGAAGCCCGAAACAGGTCTAATGGGTCATGCGAAGTCATGATGATCAGGGTGGGTTGAACTTGAAGAGGTCGAGAAGTGTCTTGGCTAAATGTCAGAGGTGAATGGTTAGAGGGGGGATGAAATAAAGTGAAGATGATCCGTGCCTGAGAGAACATCAGCCAAGTACGCGTCACCCAGATACATGAACAGATCTGGTATCATTTGTGTACAACAGAGGGGGGTAGAGAGTGTGAGACAGTGTATATAGTGTCGTCGAGGATCTGAGTGTAAATATTGTGTATATATTGTCTGATGATCACTGTGACTACCCCGTCAGAGCTGTACAAGTCACCCTCTCGTCATGGATGTCCCCTTTGAGAGGTCAGTTTTGTTCTACTTTGGGTCATGATCGAATACTATAACTGACGAAACAGTTTTGCCTTACTCATTCATCGACTTGGTCATCCGCCTAAAGTATCTAGTCGACCTACGGGAGAGAAAATCACTTTGACACCTTCGAAAATCTTTGCCTCCTGGCTGGCCCATCTTCCAAGACCTTTTCCCCCCTACACGGGGAAACACCTGTTTCGACTTTTATTCCCGCACGAGGGTTCCAGGAGGAGGTATGGGAATCGAGAACATATCCTCGCCAAGGATCTAGAGAAGATCCTCGGGGTGTCTGGTCTGACAAGATGGGATAGTGTACAATGGGGTGAACATGGCGGTTCTGGTTGTCTAGGGAAAGAAGTGGAATTCGCTTGTAAGGATCGTGTGAGTGTATTGAAAGCAAGTTTGAAAAGTCACTCATCGATAGTCATCAAGCTCAGAAGGAAGATCTCAAATCAGTATACGAGAGGTTGATCAATTGCTCGATCAACTAGCGGCTACTTCTTCCTTTTCACAACTTTCTCAACAACCTCTACCGTCCTCTCGTACGGAAGTTTTGACAAGACTTTTTCGATATTCTGGTCTCTCACCTTATGCTATGGCAGTCCTAACTCAAGTCATACTACGTGATCTTCGACCTTTACTTAATCCATTACCCAAGATGTCCGTGCGCAATCCCACCGCGATGTTGAGGATCAAAACTACCGCCGCTCCTGCTCAATTAGAGTTGTTTGATGCGATGCGACAATGGGATCCTCGGATGTTGGAATTGTATCGTTCCGGGATTGGAAGTTTGGATCGATGTGCCGATTTAGCGGAGAAGAGTCGTAATGCTTCAGCAGGGGATATCGGAACTCCTGTGGGACCGATGGTGGGAATAAACGTCCAAGTGCGCCTCATTCCAAAGATGCAATGCAAGCTGATGAAAAGATCCCGAAATGTCGGAAAGGACGATCGATTGATGACGCCCTCAACGTCTTTTTCGACGAAAGGCGGGGTGTTGAGCGCCCTGGGGCAGTCTGGGCGGAGACGAAGTATGACGGTTATAGGTATGATCAAACTTTTTATCTGCCCCATCCCTACAGAAGTGAAGAAGAGAGGAGGCAGTTGACTTGTAGAATGCAGATCCATGTGGAACTGAATCTAAATGGTGAACCTTGCATCACCATCTTCAGCAAGTCAAAACGAGATAGCACTCATGATCGAATCAATACTCACAGGTAAGTTGTCATTTGTGAGCGAGAAGCTGACATACAAGTATCCTGTGTGCAACTCTTGGCTTACACACCCCGGATCATCTGCCCGTACATCCAACCTTGGCCGAGCGCATGGAAGGCTTGCCGCTTGTGAAACCTTCCGTACGAAAATCGGTCATATTGGAGGCAGAAGTATTGCCGTACAACGAGGGACAGAGGGAAGGGGGACGAGGTCCTGGATTGGAGGAATTTTGGTGGCTAGGTGCAGCGGGTGTGACTGCAACGGACAAGATTCAAGGGTACGTCTAATTGATAGCAAAATGACTGAAGCAGCAGCCGTGATTGGAGAGACAGACGCAGACATCTTTGTTTGGCTTTTTTCGACGTCTTATCAATCGACGGTGAGAGTTTGCTTAGAGAGTCGTATGATGTCAGAAGGAAAACACTGGAAAGGATTGTTCGTCCCATACCCGGCTTTGTGAGCTTCTCCTACCACGCGCCTCACATGTACTGATAGCTAGGCATTCGTGGCAGAACGAACTTTGATATCAATGACTTTCGGTAGACGGATGGCCTCGGCGGTGATTAATTCACTTGACCATTGAATATATCCTGACTACACAGGCTCTTGAAGTAGCTTTCAGGAAATGCTGTGACGATCACCAAGGTGGGTCGTCCGTCCGATTGTGATCACGACTGACGAGTAGAGGGCCTCATTCTCAAAGCCGCCGGATCGACTTATATCGGTATGCGCTGGCCATGGGTCAAGCTCAAGGTGGGTTTGAGAAGATGATGATTATTGACGGGCAGAAAGATTATATCCCTGATCTCGGTGATTGTATCGACCTCGTCGTCCTCGGAGCTGGTTGGGATTTAGATCGTGCTAGAGAACTGAGAGGTGGGCGGAGTGTCAACACGCATGTGCTGATCTCAGTGGATACTTCCGTCTTCACTACCTTCTACATTGGTACTTTGACCGACTCGGATAAAGTCAAGCGTCGAGAAGAGATACCTCATTTCGAAATCCTTTTTCGTGCGTCTTACGGGCCCAACAGGGATACGCTGGAGATATACAACGAAGCTATTCGACATGGGAGATGGAAGACCAAGTCGTATGATAAGGATGATCGTCTCAAACGGGCAAGTCGTATTTCCTACATCATTGTCAATCATCTTACCACTTGGAAGAGACTGATTTGTAGAGATTACTCGGCCTATCATGGTCTTACACCCTTCCAAATGGTATTCCACCACCATCGGTCTTATTCGAACAACCTCTTTGTGCAGAGGTGATGGGTGCCGGCTTCCAAAAGCTCCCAGGAGGGTTGTACGAACTCCGTTTTCCACGTCTTCAAAAGATCTATGATTCTCGAGATCGACCATGGATCGATGGTCAGTCCACCGTCATCTCCCTGACATTTATTTACAGATAGCTCTCGACTCAAAGCAACTTATTCGAACCGCCCATGACGCTTTAGGCTATGCGACCACTGTGGTATCGCAAGAAGATTCCCTGGATCGAGCATGGCGTTCATCTTCTCAATACGTGATAGACATTCCTGACTTCCCTACTCCATCACCTCGAAAACTCCCTTTCTCTCCAACGAGAGCATACTCCGTCCCTTCGATATACAAGACTTCTCCTCCCACTCCGATTCGTTCCACTCCTGTTCCATCGAGGAGCTCTCCTCTGAAAAGACCGTCGGAAGCGGCTGCACGACTTCAAGACATCTTACGAACCCCCGAGAAACGAAAAGAGACATGGGAACCACTTAGCAGTCATGGGAAACGTTTGAGACTACTTTCACCACCGGCATTGACTCGAAAGAAGAGGGTCAAGAGTCCAGACGAGGAGATAGAGAGTTGGGAAAGTTTTCCGAATAGGGACAAGAGAGCAAGACCGTTGATTCGGGATTTCCCATTGCCTGATCCTCCACGAGCGGAGGACTCGGTTTCTGAATTCCCTACTGGACTCAGTCAACTCTTGCCGTCTGAGAGCGGATTGGGACTCCGTATGACAACTCTTCAACCTGAATCGTTAAGAAATGAGCGGGTGAGGTCGGGGAAGGAGAAGGAGAAGATGGGGAGGACTTTGGCACATTTGGCCTTGAGGCCATTGTCGATTCGATCTCGATTACGAATGGCTATGACGGTGACGACGAAGGGGTGATGCATTGATACACTGTTTATCAATTGGATCAACTTCCCCGCGTGAATCGTTCACCACTGCAACATGCATCTCTCGCACACTACATAGGCAGGCGCCTTCATGACTATCAACGATTCCCTTTCTCAAGTCAAAAGTCGACTCTGCATGGAGTTGTCATCACTGTGTTGAATGACATGCATGAAGTTCGAGTGGCCTTCAAGTAACCTGAAAAAAGTATTAGGTCCCACCTGTCTCCATTCGGTAGTCACACCACTTGGTGTGACAGGTGATGTACTCACACTGGTCAAAGGCTTTTTACCAGAAGCTACATCCTCTACAATCAGTGGCATGTATGTAATCTGTTGAGATGTATGTTGTGGGTGTTTGTACTTGTCACTGGGGATTGGGACGGCTTGACTCATCAATTGATTCAGACCATGATGAACACTTGTGTGAGTCGGAAACCCTTGTTGGGTTACTGCATAGGATAACAGTGAGTTTTCAAAAGAGTTGTCATCACTGTGTTGAATGACATGCAGGAAGTTTGAGTGGCCTTCAAGTAACCTGAAAAAAGTATCAGGTCCCACCTGTCTCCTGTCACGAGACCAACTAACCAGCATTGGGACGATATAACAGTGCCCTTCAGAGACAGTGGTCTAAACCACTGCGCTAAAAGGCCTATTAACCGGCGGTTACTGCATACCGCCGGTCGCTGGTTAAATACCCAACCCATCCTATTACTATCACTATCAAACTGTCTTGTCACTTCGTGACATCTCCATTCGGTAGTCACACCACTCCGCGTGACAGGTATTGTACTCACACTGGTCAAAGGCTTTTTTCCAGAAGCTACATCCTCTACAATCAGTGGAATGTATGTAATTGGTTGAAATGTCTGTTGGGGGTATTTGCACTTGTCACTGGGATTTGGGACAAAAATCTGGTTGTGAGCTTGACTCATCAATTGATTTGGATCATGATGAACACTTGTATGAGTCGGAAACCCTTGTTGGTTTCCTGAATGGGATGACAGTGAGTTTTCACGAGATTCTCCCAAGCCTGATGCGGCTGATCGAAGTGCATATTCCAAATACGCGAGATTGTATGGGTTCCCACAATTGTACCGAGTGATTTCCTGGTCCCGTGCAAGACCTTGAATGAAGACCCTCAGATAATGACTTTGAGCCTCCAATTCAGAAAGTAGAACGTTCTGAACATGGTTTGCCATTGTCCAGAGGTCAGAAATGGTGCTTCTCTTCCAATCTAAATCATCTGGAAATTAGTAAGGATCCCTCCTTTTATGACAGAGAACATACGGAGATGACCCAAGTAAGCTGTTTCATCAATCCTATGACGGTGAAGACCTAACCCATGAAAGTTCAGAGTTACCTCTAGTAGTCTTGCCTTCCAAAGGTTCCCAATCATAAGTCCCAACCTGACATCGGTTGAGACATTCGGGGCAGCTGATGATGAGTGATGATCCGTTTGATTCATCTTGTATGTATGATTGAATTGAATTACTCTGTATCGTAGTTTGTGAAATTTGCAAGATGTAAATCGAGAAATGAGTCAAGGTGAGAGGATTATATATGTATGTATAAATGTGAGATTCTTTCCGTGACTCGAGTTGATTCGGAGATTCAGTAAAGATAGTCATTCGTACTCCGGGGAAAGTAAGTCAATTTGATGGGAAAAAACACCCGAGGAAAGGTCTTAATTACGCTCTTCGGAACGTTTTTGGACTTAAATACGCCTTTTCCGACATCTGGGTCTTAACTACGTCTTTTGGCTGGGGGAAGGGTCCTTTTTACTGCCCCCCAGTTAGGGAGGACTATGGGCACCAAGTTAGGGGGGGTATTGACCATGCATAACGACGTTAGGGGGTTAGGGGAAGTTAGGGGGTTAGGGGGTTAGGTGGTTAGGGGTGGAGGAGAGTGTTTTTAATGCATGCAAAGCATGCATTGGGGGCCCAGGAAGGGAGGTGTAATTAAATCCTTCTTTTTGAAATGGGTGTAATTAAGTCCAAAAACGTTAGAAAAGGCGTAATTAAGACCTTTCCTGAAAAACACCCTTCTAGCGTCAAAACTCCACAAGGCCCATGCACAGCCACACCGCACACCGGATCTCCGAGTAGCCTGATCCGGAAAGTCGGAGTAAGTTAACGTCTTTTTACCCTAGAACCGTAGAACGTGTTAGCTACGGGTGAGAGACCGGAGGACGAATCTTGAAGGTTTTGGTTTCTCACTGAATCAGATCAGGTATCTGGGAAACAATGTTATGGGAAGTCGTTAGGGTGAGATAAAACATGTTTCAAGCACTGAAGGACGAGTGGGAAAACGTTTGGTCGGTAACAAAGCGACGGAAGCGAGTCCTAGATAGAGATGTTAAAAACGCAGAAGGAGAGATATAACATGATGACGGGGAGCAGTTTGTAACATAGATCAGGCAGGAATGGTAGGAATCAAAGCGTGATGTGAAGGTGACATTCTCGCAACCGGTTAGAAGCATAGGACATGTCTTTGTAAGTGATGATGAGTGTGTACAAACCAGAGACTCGAAACTCTAGGGCACACGGATGTAAATGGAGTAAACGCCTAGTGAAAGTCGCCGAAGCTTTTTATTCACCCATTCCGTACAAGTATCCAGTGACATAGAACCTATCACACGTCTCCTGGGTAGCCCTCAACTCTGCCATCCGATCAATCTATGTGCTTGCTGGGAAGCCGCTTCTTGATCGGAAGTTCCTTGAACATCACATTGGAACGTCATCATCAACGTAGGTGGGTTGTAAGGGGGCGGGTGTCGTTGGCTTACATCAGTATACATAGAATGCGGTTCTACCACTGTCTGGATCTGATCAGGTCGTGTAGAGTTTCCCGCGGCCTGGGTTTCAACAATGTACTCGTTTCGTGCAGTCGGGGGAAGCTCCGGCGATTGATGAGAACCTGGCCCATGTTCGGACATATACCTCAACACCTTAGAACTTTTCTCCAGTGACCTTGCCATGTCCCACGCACATTCCAAAACCCACGTACTAAAAGGCATCGGATCGCGTTCGTGGTCGACTTGATAAAATCGTGGGACCCCAGCCTCCCGAGCGATACGAAATATCTCAGATTCCCATGATGTTAGACGCCGCATATTTGGCTCCGGAGGCAATCGGATGTATTCCGCCATTTCGAGAAAATCCTTCGAGACATCCAAGCACCATTCAGAGCTGCCTGGTACTCAGTACTGCCCAGCATGTAGTGAGATGGTGTTGACATGGGATGACCCACCTGCTCGGAATTGTAATGCAGTGACACTGCTGTTTGCAGTTGAAAGCTTGGGCCTTGGGCACGATCCGTCATCCTCCGCCGAACCTATGGTGTTGGAGTGCAAACGCCGCACCACGCGAGCGATGAGGGATGCTTCGACAAAGTCAGTTTCGATTTGTGATGGGCGTGCCCTTGGCGGTACTTCAGGGACCTGACTGTGTCCAGGTTGAGGCAGTTCCATCTTACTTGTTGAGTTCAAGACTGGACGGTGAAGCCAGATTAGCCAAGTTCAGTATATAAAACCTCTCATTCGCCACTGGTCGGGGATTCGCTATTCGACTTGATGGTCCGCAGGACGTTCGAACTTGCGTTTCTCTCGGTTCTCGGCCCTTATCAGCTTCGCCCACGATCACCGCCTCGAGGCGATGTTTCAACATTGCCACGACGAGCGATAGGCGGTGCCATGAAGGGAGGGCTATCTGCTTCGTCCAGAGAGGAAGTCGTGGACGAGAGGGAAAGGGCGGTGAGGAGGCAGGATCCGACAGGTCGTGGTCCGGGTGAGAAGAGGTGAGAGGGCGATAGACAGTCGTGAAAGGTGAACGGATCGAGGGCGGAAGGAAGAGATGTAGATAGAGAGTTTTGATTATAAAAGGGTCTCAAAGATTCGCACACGAAGTGGTGTGAGTTTCGAGGTGGTGCTGAGGTTCGTTCGTGAGTGTCGAATGGGATATTGTTTAGAATAGGTCTGAGGGTAGAAGATTGTGTAGCGGACCTGATATATTGTCAGCCATTACTTCTTTTCCATCGAGGACGTTTATTTCGAAGTGCGACTCACGGCAGGGACTAACATATCATCAGCCATCTCCCTTCCCTGCAAATGGGACCCGACCGTACCATCAGCACCCAAGCAAGGGTTGACGAGCGGTCAAAGTCGCCAGTCCTAGGTCTGTCCACTGCATAGTGGTGGAGCTCCAACTGGTCGCCTTCAGGGGTGTACAGGGGTTCGAATATCCCTCGCTTGCACGTTGTGCCTGTGTTCTGTTGACGTATAGACCGAAGAGTCGGGGGTGAAGGCGTATGGGAGCAGGAGAGGTGATTTCAGTACTTCAGCGTTGCTGGGGCGCATGTGAAGGATGTCGTAAGGCGAAACAGTGATCGGGTGAGAAAGGAGAGGGTAGAAGGAGGGAAACGTAGTCGAGCCGAAGACAGGGATCAAGAGCGTCCGAAGCCGTGAAAGAGGGAAGAGCGGAAGGGAGTTTTCGTCCTGGGTAGCATGTGGTGGAAACCCTGATGATCATAAGCCATGATCCATTTCACGTGAAGCCTTGAGTTTATCTGACATCGTACTATACCTAGGTGAATGATTCGGTCCTGGTTTTTCAGACTGGCGAGAGACAAGACAGAATCGGTTGAAAACACCTAGACTGGAGGGATGCTCGAACCCCTGCATATACCGTGGACGGGAAGTCTCAGGTTGGATTTCCTGGCAGCGCGCCTGATTCCCCATTTTCGCATTTGCTTATAATTCATGTCCTACCGTCTATCTTGGTCTTGAAAGGCTACATCCCCCTTATGATACTGCTGTATGAATGTCAAGCCTTCTCAAAACGCTTTCCTCTGCATGGAACGTTCTCAAATGGATCAAAATCACTTCCAATGTAGAAAGGCAAACGAGGGATAAAACAATTCATAATCATAGTAAGGTAACCTATCGAACCTCTTCTCTCACCTAAGTAGACAGGAGAACTAAGAGAATATCCTGGCAGAAGGAAAGTACTGGAAGGATCAGAGAAGGATGGTAGATGTAACAATCCACACGGAACTCGAAGTGACTAGGTGAACGGCGGATCAGCGGTGTTCAGTTTAGTGATTTTATGATGCAGCCGGCCTTATGTCCAAAGTGGGTTCAGCTCTGTATCCCAGAATCATTACATCATTTAGGACACAAAGAGGGTCATGCAGATGATATAGACGGAAACAAGAGGAAAGAAGAAAGATGGAAGTTATCCACCTGTTGGTTTGTTGAACCGGAAGTTGATCATACTCAGTACTAGACAACTTCGCCCGCTCTACGGCCCTGTGGATGGAGGCTAAGTGAGGAATTGGAAGCGACCGGATCGGAAGTTTTGTTGTGATTGGAACTCGCACTTTCCCACACCTAATTTTCCGGCCCCTGTCGATCTTTTCTCACACGATATTACTTATACGAAGTGATAAGTGGGTGGGAACGCAATCAATCGATAACCAAAATCATCTCCAATTGTAGAAAGACAAACGAGGGGAAAGAGGAAGCACAATGACAGGATCTAGATAGACAAGAGAGCTGAGAGAACATTTTAGCTAAGGTAAGTACTAAAATGTGATAGAAAGTTCCAGTGGAAGTACCAGAAAGAAGGACTCGGAACCGGAAGCGACTACAGTGGGTGTGATACACGCATCATCTAGCCTAACACATCTGCTGATGAACGAGGATGCATCCGTATTTTGTGACAGTCTTTTCCTCCCTACCTCGCCCTCTATGAGATAAAAAAAACATCCAGAGATCAGAGAACATACTAGAACAGACAAAGACCAGAAAAGAAGGAGATAGAGAAGAGTGGGAAGAACCAAGCACTTAGAGGAACAGGAATCAACTCAACTACGGCTCATGTAAGACGTGACCGATTGGTAAACTTATAAGAAACGTCTCTTATGTAGGAAGGCAATTGAAGGATAAAGAGGATACATGATACTAAATTCTGGGGTATTGTCACGGCCGTCGAACAACTATTTCTTAATAGACCGACGGTCGACGAACCTCGGCTAACTTCACGCTCTGAGTCGATGTCTCACCCAACCAGGAGGGCGCAGACGTCGAAAGGGGTGTAACTACGGCGTACTTCGGCGTAGTTACTCTAACTAGGGTTTTGTTCTACTGATGGCGATGTATCTTGATTTATAGCTATCTCTATCTGTCTTTCACTACTGACAACAATCAAGGATCGCTGAAGAACTTCAGCGATCTTCTCAGCTAATATTATCTACTCCTCCTAGACGTTCATCCAACCCTCTCGCGCTTTGACGTACTTCAACGCACTTCGTCCAACTTCCCCGAGCCCTCGGCCATCCTCTTCCTCCTTCGACTAACTCCGCCTAACATCGCCGCACTTCTGCTCCCATTGTCCCTACTTAGCCTAACTCCGCCTAACATCGCCGCACTTCTGCTCCCATTGTCCCTACTTAGCCTAACCCCGCCTAACATCGCCGCACTTCTGCTCCCATTGTCCCTACTTAGCCTAACCCCGTCTAACTTCGTCGTACTTCTGCTCCCATTGTCCCTACTTAGCCTAACTCCGTCTAACTTCGCCGTACTTGGTGTCAGAAGTCCTGAGTTACGTGTAGAGTAAAGAGGTTAAGGCGTGATGGGGTTTTGATGGCCAAAGGAGGGTCATTGTTGGTGGAGTAATCGAGGTGTCACGACGTAGTTCGTGACAGTCGCCCCCTTCTTTAGCCGCGAACGTCCTCGTGAGCGATTACACCTCTGTCGTGGCAAGAGAACTTAGCAGCGTAGTACCCCATTCTCTCCCTCCCCATGACCATCCTCCACTCTTCTGTTCTTTGCGCCGCACTTCGTAGTTGGGCCTCCTTTCACTCCAAAACCCGACAATGAGACTCCCCTAACTTCGTCGAGGTTTGCCGTAAGAAGCCCTGTGTCTTTTGTAGGTGAGACACGCTTCCTGAATGGCAGCCGAACAACACCGTTGTTTGTCGAAGTAACCCTCGCTTATATTGAGATGAGACACTATAGCGTGGGAATTTTGATCGTCCCTGCGATGCCTTTTGTTGATGAAACGCGAAGTTTGCCGCATGTTGACGACGAGGGTTTAGGTTTGATTATACTAAATACTGAGCAGTTCGCCGAGCTTCTCTCTTTTTCCCATCTGCTTTCAAAACTTTCTATCTCTCTTACCTAGAAAACAGATTTGTTACCTTGAATCATCTTTTATTTCTTTAAGTATTTTTAACGTCATGGCCCCTCCTACTCCCACCTCTAACCCTTTCGCCGCCATGAGGAACTTTGGTGGTATGGTGTCGTCTGCTCGTGAGTTATTCCTCGACACTTACCTTACTTCGCCGGACTTGGCTGATGTTCAGTTTCCTTCGGCGACAGATCTCGCCAAGTCTCCTCCCTCGGCCTCGGCACCCTCTCTTTGGGGGAGCCGTCTGGCGATGTCCCGCCTCCTCGCTCCGCTCCTCCTCCCGCCGGTCCTCCCGCTGGTTCTCCCTCTGCTTCTCCTCCTCCTGGTCCTCGCTCTGCTTCCCCTCCTGCCGCCAGCCCTCGCCGCAGGACGCCCGCCTTTCGTCCTGGTGAGTCTCCGTCCTCCTCCGACCAGGAGTCGCTCAGTGGTTCGGAGTCGGACGATCAGTCAGACTTCGAAGGAAAAGGGGGTGATTATAGTGATGAGGATGATAGAATCGTGTCGGAGGGTGAAACCGAGTTAGAGGAACACTCGGATGATGATATGGTGGCGGTTAGTGTAGAGGACAACAACGTAGATAGTCCTGAGCGTGAGTTCTTCGTCCAACCTCTCACACCTTCGCCGAACTTGGCCTTGTTTATCTGTTCTTTAGCTCTCCAAGACATTGCTAACTCGCAGCCGCTCCTGCCCCTCCCCCTGCTCAAATTGTGGGCCAGAAACGACGCCGTTCCCTCTCCTCTTCTTCTTCTTCCTCTTCTTCTTCTTCCTCTTCTTCTTCTTCCTCTTCTTCTTCCTCTTCCGGGGTTCTCCCCCCCCCCAACGCCATCGCCGCTGCCGCCGCTGCTGCCGCCGCCGGTCCTGCTCCCGCCGCCCCCGTCGCTGCTCCCCCCCCTTCTCCCAGAGGGGAGCCTTCGCCCAAACGGGTGAAGAGATCACTGCGGGAAGAAGAGTACTTGTGGGAGAAGATGAAGTCCGAGCCTGGTCGTTGGATCGCGGTTGGTGTTGACGAAGCGTGTGATCGTTGCCGGTGAGTCCACCTATTCGTACTACGCCGAAGTTACTCCTGCTAATTAGTAGACGTGAGATTATCACGTATAATCGTCCAAACTGGCCCTGCCTCAAGGCAGTCAGGCCACACAACAAGGCCCTCCGTTGTGCTTCATGCACGTCTGGCCCCTGCTCCTTCTGTCCCGTTTCCTCTGCCCGGGACATCCCGCCCCGTCCCTTCGACGCTTCTCCTCTCCCCCCTCCCCAGACTCCAGCGTCTGTCCCCCGTTCGCGGGTACCGTCTTCGTCTCTCCGGTCGGTTCGCCGTACTTCGCCGGACCTCCGCCCGTCGCCTCCGTCGCCGTCGCCCTTCGCTCCTGTGGCCGGCCCATCACGTCTCCCGGCTGTTCCTCCTTCGTCTTCTCGCCGTCCTTCGGCCTCTGCTCCTTCGGCCTCCCGTCCTTCGGCGCCACGTCCGTCCTCTCCAGTGGTAGCTTCTCCTCCGGCTCACAGCACCCGAAGTCGGCGTCCTTCTGTTCCTCCGGCCTCTTCGGCGGCCCCTCCCGTCACCCCTCCCTCTGCTTCCCAGAAGACACCGAAGTCTTCTTTAAAGAAATCAAAAGGGAAATCTAAAGAGAAGGAGGTTGCCTTCAATGATGGTGATGTGGAAAATGAAGATACTCAGCGTGCTGGTCCCTCTGCTCCCCGGTTGTCCCTCGTCCACCCTCGTATCTCCCTGGACGTCCGTATTCCTGAGGACGAAAAGGAATTCGCCACTTATCGTTCTCTCGTCCTCGGTCTCACTACTCAGCTTGAGGCCGCCCGAAATGATACATCTCTCCTGCTTGACTTCTCTTCTCGTCAAGCTAACGCTTTAAACAATCTTACTGCGGCGTTAGTAGATGTAGTCAACACTGGGGCTCTGGACGACGAAGCAAGGACAAGGTTAGCGGACGTCTCTCGCCGAAGCCTTACTGAGATAGCCGATGTTCGCCGAAGACTGTTCGACACCCCCTTCCTAGTCACTCCTATGGCGTATGAGCCACCACCGTCCCTTGACTGGTTAGGTCGCCGTAGTAATTCTCGTGTCCCAGCTTCCGCCCAGACTGCTCTCGACCTCCTCAGTCTTCCCTTCGAGTGTCTACGGACCATACGTTCTCTGTGGAGGACCCCGAGCATG